AATTTAACCACGACCTAGGGCGCTAACTAGGTATAGTAGGTATGGGTAGATTAGCTATAAAATTAATTAATATAATAATTATTAGTAATAGGAAATTTAATACGTTTTAGTGGAGATATTTAATTTTGAAATTTTCTAATAGGGTTAGGTAGCCCGATCGGCCGGGTGGCCCGATCGGCTAGGAAATATATTAATATAAATCTAGTATAGGTAATTAGTCCTAATCTTATTAACTTATTTCTTACTAATAGTTAAATTACTCTTTTTAGTAGGATCTAGTTATAGACTATATTATAATTTAGTCCTTTCAGTATTAGACCTTCTCATAATCAGCATAAGATCCTGTTCTTTAGTAGATTCCTAGAGGACGTTCTTCGCGAGGTTATAGGATTTATAGAAAAGAGAGGAGTTAAGTAGTAGGGTAAATAGTATAATAGTAGAAGAATCTATAGTTAGTAGATAGTAATTTACTAGTAAGGAAGATTAAATTAAATTAAATTATTATATAGATTATATAATTAGGCCTCGTTCAATTAGATTTAGAGAAAAAGATACGTATAAGTAAGAAGAAAGGGGGTAGTTAAAATAGTAAATAATAGCCGTACTAGGCTTAGTAGAAATTAGGTAAATTTAGATAGAAAGATAGTACTACTAGTTTTTAGGGATATTACCCCTAGAACCACCTAATATTAAGATCTAAGTTTAGCTACTAATTATAAGATAATTATTTCTTTAGTATCTTTTTAATTAGGAAGCTAAGATAAAGGCTATAGATAAATAGAAGAATATAAAGACTAAATTCCATAAAATTATTTTTAAATCTACTAAAGAAGAGATAAAAGCCAAAAGGGCCTCTTTCCTAAAATGTCTAAAGAATCTAATCTATAAAATAATAATTATAATATTAAATAATAATAGTTTTATAAAAAAAGAGCTAAGCGATTTATATATTATTATCTTAATAGAGTTTTCTATTATAATAAGCTTACTTCTTTTTATATAGAAGATACTTATATAAAGATTGAAAACGAATTTTAGAGTTTAACTAATAATATTCTTATGATAAGATAAGAAGTTTCTTAAATAGTTTTATATATAAATATATAGGCTTTCTATTTAATTAAGGCCTAAATCTATTATAAATCTATCTTACTTTAAGTCCTATTATTCTATAATATCTTTAGTTGGGTTTTAATAAGTATAATTTAAAGGATCTCTAATACTTAGAAGGAATATTACTAAATAGATACGCTTATATCATCTTATATCTAATATTAGATAAGATCTCTTAGTCTTCTATATAATTATCTAATTAAGGATATAATTAATAGTAATAGGCCTTTTCTCTAATTATATTTTAATAAGTAGTATTAGCTATATTTATCCCTTTAGACTAAAAAGATAGTAAGTAAAAAGAAGCTAATTGGATCAAAAAGGATACTTAAAAGAAATTAAGTATATATAAGAGAGTAAGTAGAAGATAATAAGAGAGCTTTAAATTAAAAAGCTAGATTATATTAAAGAGATTAGTCAGCCGAAGTTACTAGAGACTATAAAATAATAATAAAGATAAGGAACTAAGACTTACTATAATTAGGGATTTAGATAATATAAAAGTTGAGATATTTATATTCTTATAGATAAAACTATAGGAATTATAGCACTAACGCCTTTGAAGTAAATTAAGATATTAATAAGGGCAAATTCTATCGTCCTAAGAGATATATCTTAGCTAATGGTATAGGACTTATAGTAATAAGTTAAAGAGATTATTATTAATAGAAAGGTTCTAAAGGTAAATAAGGTAGGTAGTTACTAAGTAGCGATTTAGCCTAGATAATTAGAGATTTTAATCTTATTTATATAGGTTATATAACTAAGAGATAGAAAGATAGGATAAGAGTATATATATAAATAAGAAGGAAGGAGATAGATTAGTATTAGATAGCTAAAATAGGCTTAGTAGAAATTAGATAGTAAGGTAGGAATTTAGGCCCTAGGTAGTAAGTACTATAAGTATTCTTAGGTAGTACTAATAATAGTCTTACTCTAAATTTAGGGGATTAACTACTATAAAGGTAAGATTTTATATTATTTTATTTTTATTAATACTTAAAGGTATTAGCTATTATATTATAATAATAACTAAATTCTCTCGCTAAATTAGTCTAGCTAGAAAGCCTATTTTCTAATATATATATAATCGCTATATATTACTTGGCTAATAGCTTAGCCCCTTAGTTATAATTTATATTAATTTCTATAGCGATTAGAGCTATAAGGGTAGTATAGGAAGAAAAATTAATTAGTGATTATTAGGGTAATAGATAGTAGGGCTAATTATATATAGACTTTTCTATAGGTAGTATAGTTAGAGAAGGCTTATTATAAATAATTTACTTAAAGATATTTAATATCATAGAATAATAAATATTAAGAAGGCTAAATATATTTAGATATATTATAGGGAAAATATATAATTAAGTCTAATAATATATAATATAAAGCTTAGACTTTATTTTTATAACCTAAAAACCTATATATAAAAAGAGAAATAAGAGATAAATCTATAAAATATTAGCGATATTTATATAAGAAGTTAGAGATAAATAAGTAGGAAAATTATATCTATTAATTAAAAATACTTAATATAGGGTATTCTTTCTAACTATATTAGTAGGATTAATATTTAGATTAAAGATATACTCTGCTACTTAATTAAGAAGATAGGATAGCTATGATCTAAGAAGGGTCAAAAGGGTGTATAAAGTTCTATTCGTAAGCTACTATAGGACTTCTATATATATTATAGGCGGACTAGACCTATGCGGGCCGTACGTGACCTAAGGGTGGCAGAAAGGATAGACCGCTTTATTATAGCTCCGGGCCTTAGCCAGATAGATGCCTTAGGCTCTTAAGAGGGTCCTAAGGCTCCTAGATAGTCTTAGGATCTTATAGCTTAGCCTATTTATTTAGAATAAAGGAGACTAAAGTATTATTAAAGGTATTATCAGTATATATGGTTATCGTATATACGGGTACGTACCTTTATACGGTCGAGATACGACTAAAGCCCTGCTTTCCTTACCCCTCATTAGATTACTTTACCTCGTCATTAAACGATGAGATCAATGAGATTAATCCTTAACGATCTTATATATACTTATATATAATCGCCTACCTAGGGAGGAGACTATATAACACTCTAAGGATATTCCTTCTATTTTATTTATCATTCTACCGTATACCCCGCGATATAAGTATCACTATATTTTCTAACTAAATTAAATTAAGTTTAATACCTCTCTATAATATAAGAACTACTCTTAAGTATATTAATATAACCCTTCTTCTTTATTAATTAAGCTAACTACGTACCTTCTTATAAACCGTCTCTCTTTAATCCTATCTTTTATATACCTCTTTATTATATATATATATATTAGACCTTTCTACCTATTTTCTACCGAAGACCCTTTCCCCCGGGAAACACTACTTCTAAAGAAAATCTTTTATCTTATCTTTTCTTAGCCGAGAATCTAACCATCTTATTTCTAATAGGTATCTTATCTTATAGTATAATTATATTATCCTTTAATCCTAGTTAATAATTTCTTAGATAGATTCGTAAATCTTAATATTACTCTAAATAATAATTATATAGATAGATCTATTACTATTATTTTAATTTTATATAAGTATATATCTAGGCCTAGATAATAAATTTAGCTAGTTAAGCTAACTACTAAGTAAAGAAGGCTAATACTATGTATATAAAACCTTAGAATATATATAGAAAGGGCTTAGTAGATAGAGGGCGCCTAAAGGATAGATAGTAAAGACTTATTAAAAAGACCTTCTAAAAGAATCCTATTAGTTAAAGACTAAGTTAATATTGCTATTAGATAGACTAGCAAAAACCTAGAGTTTTCATAATATAATCCCCTTAGTTAAGGACTAACTTATACTATTAGCTTATTTACTAAAAGAAACCTAGAGTTTTTATAGAAGACGTAAGCGCTGGGATTTAAATAGAAGATATAAATAGAGGGACTAAAAAAACTTATACTATTAAGTTATCTACTAAAAGAATCCCGGAGTTTTTGTGATTTAATTTACTTAGCTGGGGAGTATATTAATATTATTAGCTAGGGATATAGAAGGAGAAATTTAACAGGATAAACTAGTAGAATCTACCTATTATCAGGCCTTCCCCTCCTAGCGAATTAAAGGGTTAGAGAGTATATAAAAGCGGTCTAGAGGCCTTAAAAACGATAAATTATATAATAGATAAGTATATACAAAGGATTATCTATTTCGATATATTTTTAGCTAATTAGATCCTTTTAAAGCCTTTATTAATATCTTTCTTCTAGCTACTAATAGAGGATTATTATTATTATCTCTTTAATTATCCTTTCTAGCGTAAACTTAAATAGACTAGAAAGATTAAATTTTAAAAGATTTTATATATGTAGATATTTAAGCTAGGTTCTAATTATTTTATTAATTAAATATATCTAAATATATATAGTTAATTTATTAGTTAAAGGGATTACTTTAAATACTAATTTACATCTATATATTAAGTTTTTAATTATAAATTAGACTAACTAAATAATCTAATAAGATTTGGAGTTAGATTATATATATAAGATAGTAAGTAATTATTTAATTCTTAAGATATACAAACTAATATACTAATTATTAGGACTTTTTTATATATTTTCAGTATTTATAACTAAATTCGATCTTAAAACCTTTTAGATAGATATAGATAATATTTTCTTGAATAGCTAATTAGATTAAGAAGTCTATTATTAATATCTATTAGGCCTAGATGTGAAGGGCTAAAGCAAGACTTGATTCAATCTAACTAGGCCAATATGCTGTTTACAAAAAGCTTAAGGAGGGGAAGTTTATCCTGCGCGTTCTCCACGTCAATATGCTAAGGTCTCGTGATACACGTGACCTATATCGGGCACTGGCCCGTGACAATACCCCCCTCCTAGTCTTAATCTCATCAGGGGCACGACGGCATGGGCTTCGGTGCCGATTTGCTGGCGAATCACCTCCGAAACGGTGCCGTGCTGCTCCTCAAAGGTATCTAAGGCGCTGTAATCCCGCACTGAATCTAGCGTTTCCCACGTTTGCTCAGCCTATCCTCTCCATTTCACCAGCGCTTCGTCACGATATCCTCGTCCGATCTTCCTCCGTCGTATAGCTAGGATCTGCTCGACTTCGTATTCCTCTTCTCCGTCAACTAGTAGTGGTGGTGGCTGCGAATCGTCTACTAGCTGAGATGGGAACGGGTCCGTTGCTGCCGGACGAACTAGTTCAATATGGAACACTGGGTGTATGCCAGTAGGCACATTGAGTCGGACGGTAAACGGTGACGGAACGTCTACTACTCGGTATCGAGTATGTAGCCAATCCAACTTCTTTGACGGTCGTCGTGTGCGTATGTTCCGAAGGTTTAGCCAAACCCAATCATCCTTTTTATAGACAGGCGCAGCCTGTCGACGTCGGTTCGCTTGCTCCTCTTGAAGGGCCTGTGCGGAAGCGATAGCGGCCTGGGCCCAATCGGTGGCTTCTCGTAGGCGATTCACGAACGTTTCGCCTGCCTTTCGTGGTGGGGTCAGGGCGCCTTCTAGCTGCCCTGCTTCGTCAATGCCAATCGGGTCAACGTGGTAACCGTGGGTGAAGAAGAATGGCGAGATTCCAGTTGAAGCGGCATCGCGATTATTAATCGCCACGGCGACTATTGGTAGTAGATCCTTCCAGTTATCCTGTGAGTACGTAGTGAACAAACGTAGAATTCGTTCGATCTCCTGATTGGCACGCTCTGTTGCACCGTCGGTCTGGGGGTGAAATGCCGTGGATAATCGGCGTTGAATCGATAGCCTTTCGCATACCCTTTCCCAGAAAGAACTCACGAATTGGGGGCCGCGGTCGCTTAAAATCGCTAGTGGCACCCCATGATGCATATAGAAGTGTGTGAAGAACACCTCTGCTAAATCTTCTGCCGTCGTATTCTTTATTCCGATTAGAATCACGCCCTTCGTTAACCGATCTGTTATCACTATGTAGTTCGTTGCCCCCGTAGGTCTAGAGGGTGGCAGTCCGGTGATAAAGTCTACTGATATTTCGGCCTAGATTCGCTGAGGAATAGGTAGGGGTTTCAATAGCCTATGCTTTGTGTCTCGCCATACTAAGCTCCGTCCGTAGATTGTATAATTCCGAAGGAAGCGTCGTATATCCTTCGCTGCTCCTGGCTAGAAGAACCGTCGAGACAGTATCGAATAGGTAGCGTCTCGCCTAGGATGCGCCGTGACGTGTGAATCGTGGATCTTTTATATGATCCCTGTGCGTAGAACCTCGTTATTAGGAATCTAGATTCGTTGTCTAAAATGAAGCACTCCTCGATCGTCTAAGTGGCACTCTGATAGGCTTATCTTAATGTCTGTCTCGGTAGCGATTCGGCGCTCTCCCGTTAGCAAAGCGTGGGAGATTCGTTAGTAGATCGAGTCAGACGCCCTTGCCCTTTTTCATTCTGCCTGGAGTTCCTCTTCTTCGAAGAGGGGAATATCCCTTCTAAAGTCGATCGCTTCGTTTGATTGGTGGTCGGCTGGTTGAGGGTCTAACCGTCCTATTTTGATCTTGACCTTTTTGAGTAGGACTCGGAAGCGATTCGATAGCCTTTCGTCGGTGATGCTCTGTGGTATATCCTGGCTCCGTCGTGATAGTGCGTCCGGCCTTACTACAAGCTTACTAGGGCGATAGCGGAGGTCAAAATCGAACTCTGTTAAGAGATCCGCCTAGCGTATCTGCCGTTCATTCAGATGTTGTGCTTTACCAAAGTATCGGAGGTTCTTATGGTCCGTCACGATAGTGAATCGAGGCACTATTTTCAGCTCAGGTCTCTATTCGCGTAGGGTACGTATAATCGCTAGAAGCTCCTTATCGTGGATCTCGTAGTTTGATTCTGCTGGAGATAGCTTCTGGGAGAGATAGGCGCATAGCCGTAGTTACCTATTAGGCCCGTATTGCGATAGGACCGCCCTAGTAGCCCAGCCAGAAGCGTTAGTTTCCACGACTGTTTGACGATCCTCCTCGAAATAAGCTAGGATCGGTGCGTTTATAAAGAGTTCCTTTAGTTCCACGAAGGCCTATTAGTAATTATCGTCCTATTCGAAGATAGCGTCTTTCTTTATAAGCCGTGTTAAGGGTACCGAAAGGTCGGCGAATCGGGGGATAAACGGCCGGTAGAAGTTCGCAAAACCAATAAAGCTTCGCACATCTCGTATAGACTTCGGTCTCTCCCATGCCCTAATAGCCTCTACCTTCTTTGGGTTAACATGGATCCCCTTCCCGGCTTCGATAATAAAGCTAAGGTATTTCACCGATTTCTGCTCAAACTCTGACTTCGCGATATTATATTGCAGACCCGCGTCTATTAGTTTCTGTAGAACATCGCCGACCTTTCGGCGGTGATCCGCTAGCGTTCCGTTAGAGTAGATTATTATGTCGTCGACGTATGCCGACACAAAATCATCGAGGTACTCTCGTAGCGTCTAGTTAATATACCTCTGGAACGTTGCCGGTACGCCAGTTAGCCTAAATAGAGTCACGTTCCACTCGTAGAGCCCGTATCGCGTCCGAAATGCTGTCTTCTATTCTTCTCTAGGGTGAATACGGATCTTATGAAAGGCCGCGATAATATCGAGCTTTGTGAACCAGCGGGCGTGGCCTATGTTCCGTAACGTTTCTCGAATCAGCGGTAGAGGGTAGCGATCCTTTACTGTCCGTTCGTTCAATCCTCGGTAATCGACATAGAATCGTACGCCTCTACCTAGCTTCCTTACTAGTAAGATTGGTGCTGCTGCGGGCGATTGGCTTACACGTATGAAGTTCTTCCTAAGTAGGTCCGTTAACGTCTTCCGTAGGTAAAGAAGTTCTTCCTTGTTCATGCCGTAGAGAGGACTATATGGTGGTGGCTCTTCGACGCCGTTTCGGTCGCGTTTTAAGGGGATCTTATGATCGACCCCTGGTCGGTGTGGTGGTAGCTGATTAGTAAGCTGCTGGCTGAAAGCCGCTATCCATCGCCAGTAGTGTTTTGGTAGCTTATCCTTTGGATCGATGTGCTTCTTAGGACGGAGTGCTCTCTCGATGTCGTCTAGCGAGACCCTACCGATTCGTAAGCGATTTATATCCGATACGCTCTGCATAAGTTGCTGGATAGATGGTGCCTCCGCTTGGGTAATACGTAGTGCCTTTACCCTAATAGGCCTAATAGTGCGATCTACACGATTCTAACACCTCGTCCGCTCCCTAGACTTTGTGAAGATGTCTAGGTATCTTTTCCTTGCTAAGTATCGCCCTTTCACGTCGTGTAACTATAGGTCTCCGAGTATTATACTGTCGCTTTGTGGTCCGATAATATAGGCGAACATACGGCCCTATTAATGGCCGTAGATATCGAGGTCGAAGTAGGTGGCGTGGGTGATTCGGTACTGATTTGGCACGACTCCGTCGAGGATTCGTGGCTGTATCTTGATGCGCGGGAGGTCGAGCAACTGGACTAAGGACTCGTTTACTATTGTATAATAGCGGTAGCCGCTGTCGATAAGAGCTTATATAAATTGAATTCTATTCACTCTAGCATCGACTATAAACGGCGGTGTCTTACGTTCTAGTAGCTTTTCGACCCCCTTTCGCTCCTACTCGCGGCTAAGAACAGGAGCTACTCTTTTCCCGATCTATCCTCGGTAGTTATATCTTCGTCGCTAGAGGCTGTTGTGACGGAATCTTCGTCGCTTATAGGCTTCGATTTCTTCACTTTGACCGTACGCTCCTTTCTCTTCTTACTCGAAGCGGACGTAATTCGTACACTACCCGGCCGTTATGCTAGTAGTAGCGCGTACGTCCCGATAAAGTGGCCGATCTTTCTATATCGTAGGCACTTCCTATCGGCCCGCCGCTGCTCTAGTACGTCCTAGCTAACCTATTAAGCCTGCCTCGGCGCTCCAGTCCTAGATCGGTGGTGTTTCGTGTGGGTTTCGGTTCGGTTTACCGATATAGTAGGCGTCTAATCCATTTCGTCGTCGTTCTGTCTAGGCGAACGCGGCCGACGCGGCCGTTCTGCCTTAGTGATATTAAGGGCATCCATATCGGAGCTTATCTCGTGTAGCCGAGAGATCAGGTCCGAAAAGGTAGCGGGAATGCCCCGATTTATCAACGAATTCGTCATTGTCTTATTAAGTGCTCCGAGGAGAATCTATCGCTTGGCCTCGTTATGCTATTCGAGAGCGTCGGCATCAGCGAATTCCTTTTCTAGCCGTGGTAGGAACCTAGAAAAGCTTATATCTTCCGGTTGCCGAATCTGGTGAAGTCGCCTAGCTGCGCGTGCTTTAACATTCGGGTCTCCATAGATATTCTCGAGGTAGTCGAGTAAGGCCTGTGGTTCGCCAGTGTCTCGGCGGAGTTTCATAAAGGTTCCGGTGTTCTTCCATGCAAGCTTCTCTAGTCTAGAGAAGACATATATAAATTGGTCCTGAGGAGAACCAATAGCTTCGCCGTCTACACTAAGCTTATTCTCAATCGAAATTCGCCAGGTTGGCCAGTCGCTCGTGCTTCCACCGAATGGCTTTGGGTCCGGGAGACGGGGCTTCGGTCGGTGAATAATCTCTGTTCGTGGAGGAATCGGCACCGGTTCGGTAGCCGATCGGGCTGGTGTCGCCTATCCTTCGTTCATCGTGGTTGTCGTCGTGGCTAGTGAGGCTTGGCGCTCTAACATTGCTTCGAGACGACGCATCCGTTCTTCTTGTGTAGCTTCCTGTTGGTAGTGCCGCTCTCGTTCTTCGTTCTGCATAGCCTAGGTCTGTGCTAACTGCTGCAATAGCGTCTGCGCCTACCTAGGAGGGCTCGTCGATTCCTGGTGCTGTATAGCTGCCAGGGGTTATATAGCGTGCCGGTAATGTGTCGGTCGCTTTTCGTCTAATGTTCTAATATACCTAGGAATTGCGATCTCCTAAGGCTTTCTAATACGTCTCGAGCGCTAAGAGTTTTATGCGCGAGGATTCCGTTCCAATCGCTGTTCGTCACTGAATCACTAGAGATTCAGGGGGCTTTCCAATGAGTGCCTAGGTCGCTTTCCTAGGGCTTTTCCAATAACCAATGATACTTCTAAGTGTAGAAGGAAGCTTTTTGTATGTGAAGGGCTGAAGCAAGACTTGATTCAATCTAACTAGGCCAACATGCTGTTTACAAAAAGCTTAAGGAGGGGAAGTTTATCCTACGCGTTCTCCACGTCAATATGCCAAGGTCTCGTGATACACGTGACCTATATCGGGCACTGGCCCGTGACACTAGAAACTACAAGAAAGGTCTTAAAGTTAAAGAAGATAATATATAATTAAAGAATCGCTAATAAGAAATAAAAAGATGATATCAGAAAAATACTCTTTTACTATTAGTCTTTATTTATAGTAATTAGTTAATTAAAATTTATTAGCCTAATCTAGCTTCCTTTATATAAAGGTATTATATAGAGGTTTACTATCTTACTTTTCTAGTAGTAGATATAGAGAAAAGATAGTAGTAGCTACTAAATAAGCTATTAGTAAGAGGTCGTAGTAGTTTAAAAGCCTAGAGATCTATATTATAACCTACCTAAAGGGTTAGGCCTCTAACTAGCTAGTCAGCCTAGCTATAGCGGAAGCTATAGCGCGGGCTTTAGAGGTCTAGCCGCTAGGGCTACTACCTACGTAAATAAGAAGGGAAGTAATATAAATATAGTAAACTAAATAAAGCTAAATAAACTAAACACTAATAAAGGAAATAGCTAAACGAAGGAAGGGAAATCTCCGTCCCCGTAGTCTCTAAGTCCCCTTATCCTTATAATATCACTAGTCCTCTAGTAGTCGCTATGAGCCCTTAAGCCCTCGCGCCCTTACGCCCTTGCGCCCTCTAGAAAGTCTATACTAGC